ACTCCATTCTTTTGCATGTGAATATCCAGCTGTCCCGGCACTAATTGTTGAAAAGACTATTTCTTCTACTGAATTTTCTTGGCACTCCTCTCTCTCTTAAACCCACATTCAGAGCATTTTGTTCCTTGAAGGTATACGTAAGTCTGATTGTGCTAATCTTCCAGCTACCAGGTGTTTCATTATCTTCTCAAAACTGCAAATCTTTGAATCAAGTCTATGAATCTATCCTATATTTACTTTATTTCAGCTTGGCCAATCATTTACATTTAAAAACACTTACCAAGTACCTACTATACACCAGGCAGGATTCTAGATTCTCAGATATAATCTCAATGAGGCACTAAGATTCTTGGAGATGGTTATAAAATGTATTGTATTTCATGACAGAGATGGGGACAAAGTACCAAAGATGATGGAGAAAAAAATAATAAATAAAACTAGAACAACCATTTCAGTGCTGGAGGTTCTGAAAGGTCACAAAGAGGAAGGCCATCTGAATAGAAGAACGACTGAAGTATCAGACAAAGAAGGGCTCTTGAGTATTCCAAGAAAAGAGATATAATGGGTACAAAAGTACATAGTTGAGAAAGGCCAGATGTGTTCAGGAGAAAGAAGCTGAAGGTGGTAGCAATGTGAGGCAGCAGGTAAAGGTGACTCTCAAAAGGCAAGCAAGGCTGAGTATTAAGAACCCATATACTACACCACAGAGATTTAACTCTACTCCTGTGCAATGCACCTCTAACTCCAGGTCTGAACAAGGAAGCCACATGTATTTGAGGAAAATGACTTGTGGGGTTAAGACATAGAGTTGATTTGCATAGGTACAGACTAGTATCAGGCACCCTCATATACGTCCAGCCAGGAGGGAGATTTTTTTTTAAGTGATTCTTTCTTCCCACACTGCGTAACAAAAATGTATTCTGCTCCTTAGATCTCTTGATGATGACAAGCCTCCTAAGACATTTCATACTTGGTTACAACCTATGTTGTTTTTTGAAGTGTGGATACTGTCGACCTTAAGGAAGACGTACATCTTCAGGCTCTCAGTTTTCTTCACCGTAATAATCTCTTCCAGTTCATTCACTGTCAAACATCATTAAAGTTACAGTGCTGCCACTAAAGGTTATTTAACTCTGGGGCCATCTTCTGAGCAGGGAGTCCAGTCTAAATGGAGTTGAATAATGCCTTACAGACTGCTTCTTGCTTTTTTTCAATTTGGAATCCAAATTATTCCGTTTTTACTATTCTTCCAATATCTCCTAGCACTTTCAGCCATAATTCTAAGCTGAGAAAATGCTTCACTATGCTTCCATCATCAATTTTATGAAAGTAAGTTTACAGCTCTGCTTTTCCTCTTTCTACTTGGATTTCCTATAGAAGTTTCTAGGAATCAGAAATACACCACAGTCTAAAATTCTCTATTTTTCCTAGGAATCCCAATTAGTGTTTGGTAGTTAGTACAACCGTAGCAACACCGCTAGCAAGAAAAAGCATACTGCAGCTTCTCTAAACTACAATGTTCAATTTGTACCTGGTACTCACATTCCTTAAATGGACCTTTAGCACAAATGGAGGTGTTATTTCAGCCATCACAATGGTGAGAACTGTACTCTGGTTCAAAGGAATGAAACACTTCCTCAAAATAAATGAGTAGGAGACATAATGGAATTCTACATTCCTTGTTCTTTTCTGTTAATTGACTGCTGACGTGAGCGTGATCGCTGGAAGGGCCCCCCTGCACCCTCTTCACCCTTCAGTGATTCTTATTTACAAAGACTTATGTAAAACACGTCATTTATTTGCAACAGGGGGAAGACAGGCCAACACTCTGGCTACTCAGGAAAAAAAAGAAAGAAGGAAAGAAAGAAAAGAACGATGTCAAATTGGCTCATAAAAGTAGGGATGGAAAAAGTGAAATTATAGTGGCTGCCCTATGGCTTAGACAGAGAAGAAATGGATACGTTTTTTACATCAGGGAAGGATAAATCTTCTTTGATTCCTGCCTGCACTTCAGCAATTTTCCTATGTAGCTGCCAATTTTTTCACCCTAGCAAAATCATTAAAAACTGAAAATTACAGATTTTTAAGTTACTTTAAAAGCAGACAGAGGGACAGAAAGAAAAAAAAAGTTGCAAGACTATAATCCAAAAAAATGTTAACACAAAGATTATCACCTTCTGTGGGTAGTAAAATTATAAATATTTTCTTTTTTATATTCTCTTTTTGGATTTTTTTCCCAGTGAGTATAAGATGCATCTGCCTTTATAATCAGAAAAAAAGAACAGCAGCAGCGTCACTTATATGTGGAATCTAAGAAAATGATACCAATGAACTTATTTACTAAACAGAAACAGACTTACAGACATAGAAAACAAGCCTGTGGGTATCAAAGGGGAAGGGGTGGGGGATAAACTAGGAGCTTAGGATTAACAGATACACATTACTACATATAAGACAGATAAACAACAAGGTCCTACTGCACAGCACAGGGAACTATATACAATATCTTTTAATAACCTATAATGGAAAAGAATCTATATATATATAACTATATAAATATATATATATATAAATATATATATATTTATATATATATAAATAAAAACTGAATCACTTTGCAGTACACCTCAACCTAACACAACATTATAAATCAACTATACTTCAATTTAAAAAGGAGGGAGGGGGCAAAAAGAGAAAAACAGGTGGTTAGTTAGGTATTTGGGAAGGAAATTGTAGAGGGAAGAGTTCCTCTCATCCTAGGAGCCTAGGACAAAATCTCAAGTATATACAGACGTCCACGTTCCAGGCACCTTGAAGATTTTAAACCTTATCCAGGTATAGAAATGTAACTTTATCCTTTAACATTTTTTTTATTCTTCCAAAATACCTCTGAAATTACTATTACTTTTAAAATTGCTATTGCTATTTTTACTTAAGAAATTATCCGATTCCAGAGAAATTAAAGTACAAACAGCCAAGTTCTCACATCATATTGAGTAACTCACCAAGCCCAGTCTTGCCACGTTACAGTGAAATGGGGCTCCCATAACAGAGGGCAGACCCTACTTAAATTAACTAAGTCTCCTTTGATATTTTTACTAATTAAGTCCACAAATTATTGTTTTTCTTAGCAAATTGTGGTACAGGTGGAAGGAAGTCTCTGAGGCAGCAGACTCTATGAAGGAATCACAATCAAATGGTCAAATGTGAAACTCACCTCAGCCGAGGGCAGCCTAGCCACCCTGCTACATTTCCCCCACTCTGGCTTTCCAGCACGCCAGGAGGCAAGATTCAGGAAGGGCCCTATGGTGCCACAAAAATGGTAACAACTCTAGCATTATCCTAACTAAATTAATCCTGGAATAAGTTTCTGAAGCCTCAATATGTATTCTCTTGAAATAATGATAATGCCCATAGTAGAGAAGTCCATCAAATGGTTTACCTGTGAAATATAGCCTGGAGGCACATGGATGGGAGGAATGGATCCATTGGGTGACATCATGGGAACTTCAGCAGGTCCTAAAAAAGGAGAGAAAGGTATTAACAACTGAATAAACATATCTTATTCAAAATAATTTCTTGGTATTATTTTAATATTATCAAAACTGAAGGGAATTAATCACTTTGACTGTTTTCTCTTCAATAGTTGGTACACTGTGCCTTAGATCTGAAATCATGGATGAAAAGGAATTCTCTGGCTGCATAAGTCTAAGGGGTGGGGGAGGGGGAACAGCTATGAGCATCTTTATAAATAATGATTTCCAAATCTCCACTTTCATAAACTAAGGCTGATCAGTTAAGAGTTATCTAGCAAGGTGGGGCAAAAGTTTCCTTTTTTGCCTTTAAAAGGATGTATTATTAATACATACTTAAACAAATAAATTTATCTCCTCTGGTTTAAAAAGCTCCCACATACTTTGTATTTATAATTTTCATTCCAATTATTATTTTCAGTAAGTTACTGTAACATGCCATTAATTTGAAACAGAAGAAATCTTTAAAATACGCCAAATCAAAAAGAGGAAAAAAAAAAGAAGAAAAAGGAGAGATGAAACACATAGTGGTGATGGTGGTACACTGTGAACGCAATTATTGCCACTGAACTGTAGATATAAAAATGGTTAAAGTGACACATGTTATCTATATTTTAATGTAATTTTTAAAATTAAGAATATAATGTACCAAAGAGTACCTGCTGAATTGTATACTTTAAATGGATGAATTCTGTGATATAGTGAATTATATATCAATAAAGCTGTTCAAAATAAATAAATAAAATACTCCAAACCAACTGAATTTGGTATGCCTCTTATGTTAAAAGGCAGGCGGGAAAATAGATCATATTTTAAAACTAGGCACTACTAGGGATACTCATACCAAATTTACTTGGATTACTTCAAAGTAAAGCATCCAATTAATGAAGAGCTTAGTTTCAAAATATTAAATTCAACAAATGTTAATCAAATGTCTAAGGCAAACCATGACAGTCAAGGTAACACTCAGTTACCTAAGACTTGGCTTGAGTTAATATTACAAGGAAACATTGTCATCAAAATCAACTTCCGACACCCTTCCAAAGATCCTATGACTAAATGGTTTCCCTCGAAGAGTAAGAACCTCATAGTCACTGGTTTTCAGTTTGATAAGTGGCTCCCCTATTTAGTAACCCACAACCCAAATGTCAATCCAAAGCTGAGTTCTAGTCTGAGATGCGACTTCCTGGCTCCAAGTGCCTTGTGTTGTTTATTTGCTTTCTCCTAATGCCTGTTGTGCTGCCGGCAACGAAAATTGCTCCACTGTAACAAAAACCAAGAAAAATACACTTTTCTTGGCAAAAGAAAATAGATCCTGCCACCCACTGCTGCATTCACATATAAGCACAATGTACCTTTCACCTCACAGTACAATCCAATGTTATAGCTACCTCTCAGGAAAAGTGTGGAGGGACAGGGATGCTGGGGTGCCATCAAAAGTTCTACTCGTACAGGGGAAAAAGCCATAGAAGCAGAACAGAAGATTCAAATATTCATGTAACATTCCATAGGACTCACTGCAACTTCATGGACAACATACCAAAGCACTACACTATCTGATAATCTCTTAACACGTACACAGCACCACAGTGGTCTCTCACATGCTGACACACTGGTAATCATTTAAAGCAAAGAAAGACAATGGCGTAAGAATGGATAATTTCACGACCCCATTGTATTTTTAAGTATGATTCAAACTAATACATCCACCAATCACTGGAGGCACTTTCCAAATTCATCTTCCAAATACATTTTTCTCGTCAGCGTCAGCATTTTTGCCCTAGCCATCAAGACATTTAGGTAATTATTATTTTTATTTCAATTGACTCACTTAAAAAAAATCAATGGCATTAACATATACATACTACTATATATTGAATAGATAAACAACAAGGTCCTACTATATATATCACAGGGAACTATATATCTTGTAATATCCTATAATGGAAAAGAAACTGAAAAAGAGTATATATATATACATATGTGTGTTGTGTATATATATATCTGAATCATTTTGCAGTACAAAAAACTAACACAGCACTGTAAATCAACTGTACTTCAATTTAAAAAAAACAAACAAACAAAAAAAAACCATAGACAACTCTTTTATCCTGAGCCTGAGCACTATCTCTGAAACCCAAGGGACAACGCACTCAGCTCTACAAGCATGCTCTCTCTGCCTGGCTTCATTTCCCAGTTCACTATTCACAGTGGTTGTATGACCTTGGACAATTCACTTAGCCTTTCTGAGCCTCACTTCTCAACAGCTATAAGTGAGAACAACAGTACCTACGTCATAGGCTTGGGTTTAAAGATTAAATTCAATTAATACGTGCAAAAGCGCTTAGAGCAGCATGTGGCACAATGATCACTCATCAAAATGTTAGCAATCATTACAATTTTTTCTTTCTTTTTATTTACAGCTTTTTGTTTTTTCCTTGCTCTTTTATCTTAAGCACTATTTTAATAGTACATATCCCTGTAACACATAAAAACAAGTTTACACTTTGTACAATATTGACTTAAAAGGCAAACCTTCCTCGTCAGATAAATATCAAATATTTCACAGTACAGAGTGTGAACAGAAATGCTACCACCTCAATAAAGTATTACTTTTTAATCACCAAAATGTACACCAGGCAAACTGTCTCTTAACCCCTGGCATGACCCCTAAAACTGTTAAAGCCATTTCTATAAAATGCTTCAAAGAATGTAGGACAAGTAAGTGATTTACGGCCAGAAAATGTTTTCTTCCTGGCCTTGATTTCAAAAGTAGCGAAATGACTTTAACATACTTGTTCCCCCTTCCTCTTGTCACTGTCATCAAAACCCTTTCAAAGGACATTGTGAAATATACAGTAATGGTTTCCGAAACTCAGCTCTGTCTTGGAACCCTAAGGTTTCTCTTCTTTCTGAAATAGGCCATTGCCCCCATAAGGCATTCAGGAATTTAAAAAGCTAGGAAAATAAAACCTGTTTCACAATGGTGGTATGAGAAAAGTTATCATTTCTAAATACTTATCTCCTAATCAGTGAGTTTACTGCCTCTGGTCAACTGTGTTTGAGAACCTCCTGATATTATTATAATCCTTCCCTAATTAAAACACAAACTTCTCTTCCTAAACTTTTAGGACTACTAGGTCTCTTTTGATTTTTTAGTTGATAACCTCATGACACACAAGATTTAAAGGATACGAGAATATGGTGAAAAATGGTTTTCTTCCTATTCAAACCACGAACACTGGATATGTGAAGTAAAAAGCCACACAATCTCCCCAAACTAATTTCCTTTCTGACTGTACTGGGAAATCGTTGATCTATTAAACTTTTAGCAGGGGGAGGATTTCTTTTAATCTCTTTAAGTGTCTGGAACTCCCTTTAATTAAATACTCTTGCTACTTACAGGTAGGTCTACACAAATGTACATACACACAGATTAAATAAAGTGGAAACAAATACACACTTTCAAACTTTTTTTTTTGAGAAACTATTAAGAAGCTCAGCTAGAGGCCACATGTACTCTTCCACAGACAGATGAAAGATGTCACATGCACAATTTCTAGAACTGGAACTAGAATGTTTGCTAAAAGCCAAGTAATTCCATGAAAAAAATGCCTTGGGAAATTTGATCAATTTCAAGTTTTAGGCTGTGACTTCAACAGTCAAGAATTCCTTTTTTTTTTAATTGAACAAGATGTGAGCACAAACAAGAACTATGATCACATTTATAGTCATTAAAAAACTTAACTGCAATATGCAAGTACATGGTTTAACATCTTAAAAGTCTACTAGCATTTATTAATAAACTGCCTTCCCATTTACTTATAGCATATTGTGAAAGGTTGGAGGGTAGCTTAATTACAACCAACAGTAATTCATGCAATGATCCTACAACTTTATTCCCACATCAAAGAGAATGAAGGAAAGCCCAGCAATGTTGTATTTTTAGGGCCACACATAGCTCACAGAGAGCTTCTGAGCCCCTGCCAAGACTGTGAGGCCATTTGGTTTCACTCTGTGCTTCTTCCCTGCTACCAGGGATGCACCAGAGCCCACACATGTAAACACCCCTTGCTCTGATGCTATATTCAGAATATTCACCCATTCTGGGAGAAGAATTAACTAGACTGACTTGAAAAGAATGTACAAATGAGGCTGACACATCTGAAAATAGTGGAAAATAGGAATCCAGGGTATAAATTATCATTTAAACCAGTCTCAGAAATAGATCAGCTATAAATAATTATACTACAATTTTGACATTTCAAAATGATATTTTTATAAGCTGAATACTCACCAATAGGTAAACAAGTAGTGAATAAACAGAATGCTATTATTGTACTAGTCTATAAACTGGTACTTGTGTTTCCAAATGGCTATTTTCAACAATTGTGCCTTCGTAGCAATAGAACATATTCTTACCTTATTAACTTAAATATTACATTATTCAAAAAGGATATAAGACGACTGAGATCACAACATAGCAAGATAAAAGAAAACTGAGAAAAATAAAGAAAAGGCAAAATATTGATACGATAAAATCCAATAAACACTATTTAAAAAAAAAAATCCTTGAGTCTTTCTAAATAGCCAAAAGAATTTCTTGCTGGCTAAAGCAGTCATAAGGATAAGGCCACAGCTAGTAGGTAACCAGTTAATTATGGTGAAAGCAATTATCAGAACAAACAATGGAAATAAAAAACTTGTGCTGTCTGGCATGGGTCTAAGACCTAAATGTGAGGTCTTCTGCTGAACCCTGTGAATGTCTAATAATGAATCTCCAATTATTCATGGGGACTCAAGACACAGACAAGCTAAAAGATTACGTAGGCAATTTGCGGGAACACTGACTTTTTAAAAAAATTATTCAACACTGACAAATCCCACAAGAAAACTAAAAGAAACACAAAGATAATAAAATAAAGCACAGGTCCTAGCCTAAGTTTAAACTCTAGAGCCGTGGCTCTTAAACTTTGGTGCGCATCA